CACCTCGGAATCAATGATGAACACAATGATTTTTTACCAAGGTTCACTTGCTTGCCAGCAAGCTAGTCCTCGTTGTGGCGATTCACTCACTTGGAGGTTCACGTGCTAATTGGCATCACACGCCAAACCCTCAATAGGGTGCCGCACAACCAACACAAGATGAGGATCACACAAGCCACTAGGGATTTACTAGAGTACCTTTTGGCTCTCCACCGGGGAAAGGTCAAGAACCCCTCACAATCACCACGATTGGAGCCGGAGACAATCACCACCCTCCGCTCGACGATCCTCACTGCACCAAGCTATCTAGGTAGCGGCAACCACCAAGAGTAACAAGCGAATCCCGCAGCGAAACACGAACACCAAGTGCCTCTAGATGCAAACACTCAAGCAATGCACTTGGATTCACTCCCAATCTCACAAAGATGATGAATCTATGATGGAGATGAGTGGGAGGGCTTTGGCTAAGCTCACAAGGTTGCTATGTCAATGCAAATGGCCAAGAGAGTGAGCTTGAGCCAGCCATGGGGCTTAAATAGAAGCCACCATGAAATAGAGCCATTGTACCCCTTCACTGGGCACAACGAGGGGTGACCAGACTCTTCGGTCATATTGACCGGACACTGGACCTCAGCGTCTGGTCATGCGATGCGTGCCATGTGTCTCCTCTCTTCAAATACTGAGCGCTCGATCTCAACGGTCATGTGATGACCGGACGTAGCAACTCAAAGTGACCGGACGTTGAGTCCCAGCGTCCGATCATTTCTAGTAAGCATCCAGAGACGATTTTTCACAACCGGACGCGTCCGGTCATGCTCGACCGAACTCACCCAGCGTCTGGTCACACTGTGACTCTTCTGTGCGCTGCCACGTCAACAGGACCGGATGCACCCCTCCAGTGTCTGGTCACTAAGTGACCCAGCGTCCGGTCAGAGACCGACACTAGCGTCTTCATGCTCCACCTGACCAGACGCGCCGGTCCTTCCGAGACCAGCGTCCGGTCACTTATAGTGACCTCTGTCTTTTCTGTCTAGGGCGCCGGTGGCACCGTCGGACTGTCCGCACTCTATGGGCGGACACTCCGTCGGTGAAATATCTTACCCTTGCTCAAATATGCCAACCACCAAGTGTATCACCTTATGCACATGTGTTAGCATATTTTCACAAACATTTTCAAGGGTGTTAGCACTCCACTAGATCCTAAATGCATATGCAATGAGTTAGAGCATCTAGTGGAACTTTAATAACCGCATTCCGATATGAGTTTCACCCCTCTTAATAGTACGGCTATCAATCCTAAATGTGATCACACTCACTAAGTGTCTTGATCACCAAAACAAAATAGCTCCTACCATTTATACCTTTGCCTTGAGCCTTTTGTTTTTCTCTTTCTTCTTTTTAATTCCAAGCACTTGATCATCACCATGGCATCACCATCATCATGTCATGATCTTCATTTGCTTCACCACTTGGAGTGTGCTATCTATCTCATGATCACTTGATAAACTAGGTTAGCACTTAGTGTTTCATCAATTCATCAAAACCAAACTAGAGCTTTCAACGTGGCAGTCGGAGAACGACCAGACTCGGGTTCTGCATCCGATCGTGACTGACCGGATGCGTCCGGTCGCAAAACAGAGGCTCAGGGAGCTCTTTGGAAATGACCAGACTCAGGTGTAGCAGCATCCGATCATCCTCACTGTACTGCGTCCGGTCATCACTTGACCGTTGGCGCACGGCAGCCGACCATTGAAATCAAGCGACTGAGGTTGAACAGAGGCGACGCGTGGCGTGCATCCGTTGACCGGACGCTGGACTGGGTGTGTCTGGTCGATCTAACCGGCGCGTCCAGTCGCCCCAAGCAGTGCCTAGTGAAGGGGTACAACGGCTCTATTTTTGTGGAGGCTATAAATAGAAGGGGGTCTCGGCCATGGCTGAGGGAGAGCACCTTGGGGGACTTTGAGTCCATGCTTGAGAGTGCTTAGGAGCCCTCCATCTCACATATGCTTGATAGTGATCATCCGATTGTGTGAGAGAGCGATTCTAGTGCGATTGTATCATGAGGTTGCATCGAGTGGTACTAGGTGATCGAGTTACAAGCCGGTGGTGCTTGTTACTCTTAGAGGTTGCCACCTTCTAGACGGCTTGGTGGTGGTCTCCGTCGAAGCCCATAAGAAGCTTGTGCGGTGCTCCAGAGAAGAGCTTTGTGATGGGCATTGTGCTCGCCCCGTGGGAGCCACGAAGAGCAACTCTAGTAGAGCGAGACATGAAGAGCGACAAGTGGTCCAGCCGGGTCAAGTGCTAGAGCTTGTGGTAAGCACTCCACGTAGGAGAGTGTGACTTGCGGGTCACCACTAGCAAGAGAACCGGCGCCAACCTTGGAGCTTGTCTTAACGAGGACTAGCGTGTTGGCAAGCACGTGAACCTCGGGATAAAAATCATCGTATCATCCTTGTATTTTCGTTGGTTTGCATCCTCGTTACACAAGCTTGTATTTACATTTCATATACATTGTGCTTGTGTAGTTGCTCTTGTAATTAGTTAGCTTATGTAGCTCACTAGTTACCTTCTTGCTTGTGTAGCATAGAAGTAGCTCCCTTGCGTGGCTAATTTGGTTTGTGTAACCTTGTTAGTCACATTGCTTAGTTTATGTAGCTAAGTATTTGCGCTCTCTAATTTGACATTGGTTGCTTTGTTATTGAGCATTGCTAGTGAGCTTAGTGGCTTTGTGATTTTGCTTACTAGCATGTGTAGGAGCTTCCTCATTGCCTGAAGTACTAGTGGCATAGGTTTGTATGACCTTGCTTTTAAAATTGGTTAGGTGAGCTCTAGCTAGCCCGACACCTTTGTTGTCTAATTAGGATCTTTATAAGGTGCTTGTGAACTTCGATAGAGAGGTGTAGTCTTGGCTAGATCGATAGTTTTAATTCTACATTTGTTTCGGTTAGCCGACGTGATTAAGTTTAAGAAAGGACTATTCACCCCCCTCTAGTCCGCCATCTAGACCCTACACTTGGTTTGGATGGTGGGATGCCGTACCGATCATCACGGTTTAGCGGTTTTGTCTTGTCCATTCAGAGGCGTGCGGGGATGGCGTTTGCACCCGAGATGGCTATCCCCTCATTCCTGCCGGAGTGAGTGGAGCGTGCCTGTCCCTGTCAGGGCTGGCGTACTTGATGAAGCTCGACCTCCCTCCGCTCCCTCCCAGGGGTCGGTACGGAGGAGAGGTCGTGCGGTGTTGCGTAGCGTGCAGCGGAAGGAGAAGGGAGAGGTCTTGATAGACTGCATGGCTTGGCGCCTGGTGTGGGGCCTTTGCGGCTTTGGCGGGCCAAGGTCGCTGGGCCTCGACCAGTTGGGCCGCTTGAGAGGCTAACTATTCGGTGCCTTGAGATACCCAATAGGTATGCTCGTCATGGTTGCACTGTAGTGATTAACTGTACTTCATTTGTGCACATATGTATTGTCACGAATTTACTACTATTTTTAATTAAATTAAACATAAAAATGTCTAAATTTCTAACATATGCTTAAAGAGAGTTATATTAACTGCTCAAGAAATATGTTACAATATTCTCTCGTAATTAAATACTCCATATATTGAGTAATCTACGTGCGCCACACCACTGTTTGTTACATACCTTTTGCCAAATTACATAAGTCCATGAGCCATGTCATTATTCGGTCCCCTCAATGATTGGAATCTCATATCCGAAAGCGTCCTAGGCATATGTTTTATATCATTACTCCTTCGTCCCATAAAAAGTATCATTTTTATTCTTTTTAAAAGTCAAATATTTACAATTATGACCAAATATATGAAAGAAAATATTAATACTTATGGTACATAATTAGTATCAGATGAATCGTTGAATATATTTTCATAAACTTATTTGAAAATACGAATATTGCTAATATTTTTTATAAATCTAGTCAAACTTAAAAACTTTTGAAGCTCCATCGATATTCACTTTCACCTAGCCCTACTCTGGATGTTTCTAATGTTCCGATGGTCACTGGGCTTTGCTTTTGCTTTTTCTTGCCTTCTTTGCAGATTTTGAAGATAGCTTGATTACCTTTCAGGTCCTCCGCTAAGTTGTAGAGAATCAACATAATTCAATTGAAAAAAATGACAGATGCGACCACATGTTTAAGCTTAGCACCATGGACCACCTTATTTCTCCAAAACCAAGTTCTCCCTAACATGAGAGCAGTCAACTCCGCCATTTCCTTGCTAATAACATAGCTTAGCAGTAAGAGAGTAACCCATCCGGTTCAATCCAAAAGGATGGATCCTCATTCGGCAATACCCAATGCTGGTTCCTAACAGAGCACACGTTTCTTGCACGGAATTCTAATTCGACCTCTAGCCCACACAACTCGTGCATATTATCCTTTTCTAGGCAATATTTATATTTGTTTAGTCTTATTGCCAAACCATGGTTCACACTTCGCCATAGGAAAACTTTATTTTGTACGGTATACTCAGTATCAAGATTGAATTTCATAAGGTTTATCCTCCACAGAGTTCAGGCTGCTGCTGCTGCGTGCATCATTATCTTTATCATTAGTTACATGTTTTGTGCATAATTAATCAAAAAGATTCATGTTATAAAAATAATAAATGAAATAGTTTCCTCTATATACCACTATAACTTTTTATGTCAGTATAAATCACTTAGCCAGCCATTTGAAATTATTGCTTTATTCTAGAAAACGTAGTGCTATTTCACTCGTGTGTAATTCCTTTTGAAAACTTATGGCCTGTCTATAAAGTTCGGGCCCGTGAACTTTGAATTGAAATTTGATCCTGATCGCAATGCAAAACGGAAATCTGACAAAAAGAAGAAAAATAGAGGAGGGCCCAACTTAACCAATCAGTTTGATCCAGCGAAGCCCTCGCTCCCCTCGCTCCGCCTCCACTCCACCTCTCCCACTCCTACCGGCGCCGCCGCCGCAATCTGCCTCCGTCCGCCTCGACCTCGATCCACCTCGATGACCTTATGAGATGTGCGGCGGCGGTACGCTCCCTCCTCCCACTACCCCACCCCGCTCCCGCCGGCGCCGCCCCTATCCACACCTCCGCCCCTCACCTCGCCGCCGAGCTCGAAGCCGGCGACGCCCTCCACGCGCTCCTCTCCACGCTCCCGCCGTCGCTCCCTTCCTTCTTCCCTTGCCTCTCCCTCCTCTCGCGCCGACTCACCCCGCACTCCGTCGCCGATGCCCTCCTCTGCGCCGCGCTCCCGCCCGCGTCCCGCCTCCGCCTCTTCCTCTTCTCCGCGCTCACCCCGCGCCTCCGCTCCCCGCTCCTCCACTCCCGCGCCGTCGTCCCCATCCTCCTTGCCACCGACGCGGATGCCGCCATGTACGACGCCATCGCCGACGCCCAAGCCGCCGGCCTCCAACCCCCCGCTGCCGCATTCGAGGCGCTCATATTCGCCCACGCCTCCGCCGGACGGCACCACGAGGCGGTCGAGGCCTTCTCCCGGATGGAGGGCGAGTTCGGGTGCCGCCCCACCACCTTCGTCTACAACGCCGTCCTCAGGGTCCTCGTCGCCAGCGGTGGTGTCATTCCCCTTGCCCTGGCGCTATATAACAGGATGGTCGCCGCCGGCTGCCTGCCCAACAGAGCCACGTACAATGTGCTCATGGATGGCCTCTGCAAGCGGGGAACGGCCGTGGACGCGCTCAAGCTGTTTGACGAAATGCTCCAGAGAGGTATCACTCCCAACGTCAAGACACACACCATCTTATTATCGTCGATGTGCAATGCCGGACAGCTGAAGGAAGCTGAGAACTTGCTACATTCCATGGAAGACAAAGGCTGTCCGCCTGATGAAGTCACATACAATGCATTCCTTAGTGGGTTATGCAAGGCTGGCAGAGTTGACGAGGCCATTGAGCGGCTTGAGGCACTCCGTCGTACTGGGACCTTTGTACTTGGCTTGAAGGGGTACAGTTGCTTGATTGACGGTTTGTTCCTGGCAGGTCGGTATGAAGAGGGATTCCAGTGTTACATGGAGGTGTTGGAGCAAACTGATTTCTCACCGGACATTGTTCTGTACACTATAATGATCCGTGGATGTGCAGAGGCTGGAAGAACCAATGATGCCTTTGCCTTCTTCGATGAGATGAAAGTGAAAGGCTTTACTCCTGATACCTTCTGCTACAACACGCTGCTGAAGGCCCTCTGTGATGCCGGTGATCTGGATGGAGCTCGCTCGTTGATGTCAGAGATGGCGCAGAATAACGTGGTCCTAGACACCAATACACATACTACCATGATACATGGGTTGTGCAAGAAACAGCTTGTAGATGAGGCAATGCAGGTTTTTGATGGGATGGTGGAAGTTGGTTGCCATCCAACTGTTATGACATACAACGTGCTCATCGATGGACTCTACCGGGTACACAGGCTTGAGGAAGCTCGGATGCTTTTCTATAAGATGGAGGTGGGAAATAACCCTTCCTTGTTCCTTCGGTTAACACTTGGTGCAAACCAGGTGAGGGACAGTGAGAGCTTGCAAAAGCTGGTTGACAGTATGTGCCAGTCTGGGCAGGTGCTTAAAGCTTACAAGCTTCTTCGAGGTATAATAGACAGTGGTGTGGTTCCTGATGTTGTCACGTATAACACACTGTTAAATGGACTGTGTAAAGTGAGGAATCTTGATGGAGCACTGAGGCTCTTCAGAGAGCTCCAAGTCAAGGGGTTCTCTCTTGATGAGATCACGTATGGGACTCTTATCGATAGCCTCTTGAGGGCACACAGATATAATGATGCCATGACATTGTTCCAGGACATATTACACAGTGGTGGCACCCCTAGTCTGTCAATCTACAATAGCATAATGAGATCGCTTTGTAGGATGAACAAATTGTCACAAGCAATCAACCTCTGGTTTGATGACCTGCCCAAAAAGTACAATCTCTCAGCCCAAGATGAAGTAATTGCTAGTGCCCGAAAAAAGTTTGAAGAGGGTTCCCTGGATGAAGCAGTTAGGGAGCTAATCAAGATTGATCAAGAATATGGTTCGGTAAACTCATGTCCTTACACCATTTGGCTCATAGGCCTCATTCAAGCAAGGAGAATAGATGATGCCCTCAAGATTTTTCATATACTTGAGGAGTTTGGCATTGATATCACACCAGCTTGCTGTGCTCATCTTAGCAAATACCTATGTTGGGAAAGAAATCTAGATTCAGCAGTTGATGTTATGCTCTATACATTGAATAAACGATTCATTATGTCAAGACATGTAGGCAACCGGTTACTTAGTAGTCTTTGTATCCGTCACAGGAGGAAGGACGCACAGGCCCTTGCATGGCGAATGCATCTTGTAGGATATGATATGGATGCATATCTTCGTGAGTCTACAAAAGGTTTGTTATACAATCAATAGAAATGTCAGTAGTGTTTGTAGGGCTACAGAGCTTGCTCTCGAGAGGGCTGCTGATATTTTGAACTTTTTATCTGTACCAATTTGTTCTAGGTAACCCCAAAGTAGGGTTTGATTCACTGAGTTCTTAGCTCTTGCAGTGGATTTTGTAACCCACTAATTCAGTTGTAACTTCAATAATGAGGCAAGCATATTGATATCCTGCAACATATTATTACACTCTCCGAGCTTCTACACAGTTAAAGTTGGGAAATTATCTTCCATACCACCACTTGAGGCTCCCCTTTTTATTAATACCACCAAACTAGTCAATTGCATATGGGCTATGGTCCTACATGTCATTCACACATGCTGATGGTATATATGAAAAGTGCACCTCAAGTGGCGGTACAGATGAAAGTATTCCATTAAAGCTCATTATGCAGTTGCTTGGTTATGGCTGAAACATTTCGGTACTGTCGCTAATCTTGCTTTTTCTCATCTATAAGCGAAGAATGTGGTGCATCCTTCATGCATTAATAGGGCTCGTACTAATAGTTGAGCTATCTTAAGTTCTCATGCATTTTTTTGATGATGTTGGTACTACCTTTTTTCTTTCGCTTTATAGATTGTTCTGCTTTTATCAAACCGGTTAATTCACTGCTGGGTGGTGGTGGTGGATTTAGCTGGATATGATGCTTTGCAACACCGGTCCAGATTGGGCTGCATCCTTAGTATTTTGTAATGAGGCTGCTCAGGACTCTTTTGTCAGTGTGTTGATATATCGCTGTAGCTACACTTTTTGTTTCTGGAGTTGCAACAAAACTTTTCTTATGTTCATTAGTTTGATACAGAACTAGGCATCACATATTCTGTTTACATATTTTACGTTCTAGATGTATACAGCCAGTCAATAAAATTCTGTTAGTTTTTCTCGGACTAGAGAATGCCCTCTAGATGTATGCTGACATTTTGATCTGTACTGATTTTATTTTAGGTAAAACTGTGTAATAGAGTGTGTTCACTGCTTTCATATCAGTATATCACTTGCAGTGGATTGTGTAGCCCATCAGTTCAGTTTTTAACTTTAACAGTGAGGGTCTGAGGTAAAAACTTCATATTCCACGACACATTACACCCCTTTTCTTGCTTCTCTGGAGTAAAAAAAATTATGTAGACTTAGTTGTCTCACACTTTTTGTCTATCTTGTTACTTCGTTTAGTTTACTGTAGAAACTAACATTATTTCTTTTTATGATCCTTCTTTGGTCAAGTTTGTTAGCATATCATCATTCTAAGACGCAACTGGGCTTGATAGTGTGCTTTTCAGGGAAAATTTGACCAGATGAGGTACTTCAACACGTTTCTGTTGGGCTTTTGGGAAATTGCTTGCCACTTAAATCAGCCTTTATCTTTTGAACCTCTGCTGTAGAAACTTTGAGGGAATTCACAAGTTTCACACAAAACCCAATCTCATCCTTCACCTGTTGTCTCTCCCTGTCGTGTAGCCCACATGCAGCACAAAGCGATCTAACAGGTACACCACGGTTGCCAACATGATAGTCTGTTCACACCATGGCTATGTTGGGGTTTTGTCTTGCGGGTGCATCTAGTGGGAGGTCCATGCTTGCTAGTTTTCACTGGGTTGGTGATGCCCCATCTTCCCATGCGACCAAGATGAAGCAGCCTAGAAAGTAGGTCACTGATGAGAGGCCTGATTGGCCAGAGCGAAGCCGTGTGAACAGCACATATGTGCGGTGAACACTAACTCACCCAATCTGATCTATTTTCTTGCATGAAAACCTTTACCACCGGACGTTTGTGCCCCTGTTCTTGTTGGCAGCTGAGGCATATAAGTTAGATGGCCTCAGTCACTGCATGTAGACCACAAGAGAGGGAGATATAGTTGACAAATTTGGGTTTGTGAAACTTGTGCACAAAAGCTGTAGTTTTGTGATAAAAAGTTACAGTACTTGTAGTTTTGTGTTTCTATGGTCAGCATAGGTTTAGTTTTGTGCAGTTCCTGTTTCTACTTTCTGTCGGAAGTCACAATGTAACATTTTTATTTAGGAAATTTTAGAGCTCACAGTATTTTCAGTTAGCTTGAATTTGATACAGAACTAGACATCTTATGTCATTTCTTGATAATTAATGGCCCAAGCACTTTTTGTTACCTAACTTAGGAAATAAATAGCAAAGTTTCTTGTGCATGCAGATTGATTATATTCAATATACGAGATTTTTCATAACATAACTGTGCGATACATTAGCAGTGGATTTTTCTTGCATATCTTGTCTGAACTGAAAAAGGGTTGCTTATCTATTTTTTATTCCTCATGGTTGACTTAATCTAGTTTCCGATTGTTGGTCAAGTTTTCTGAGGTGAAATTTAATTCAAAGTTTCCATTGGTGCCTAGTTTTCTGCCAACATATTGCTAGGGAGACCTACATGGTATTATTTCTATTAGCAAATGTATATTCATGTTATTTGTGAATTCCTGCTAAATATAAACTTTTATGCTTTTTTTTTAACGCAAAAACTTTGATGTATTTATCCTCATGGAGACTTGGGATGAGATCTCTTCATCTATCAATCTTTGAACAGTAAAAAATGACATGCTAGCATCAAGATTGAATTGAAATCTGCAATGGTGAATTTAATGTGTCCACTACTCTCTTTTTTTTGTTTTTGAAACCTCTCATCTAAGTACAGTTGTAGTATCTGTTCATGCATATACACACCCACGCTACGCACGCACACCACACATACTACTTGTGCACTACTAGACCTACAACTACACACAGATAACAATCATGTCCTTCTTGAGATCATCAGGACCAACCATGGCTCCATAAACGACGGGCACATCGCAATCCCCTTTGTGGCTCCACGCGAGAGAGGCTGCAGACACATATTATGGGGGAAAACCCGGTGGGAAAACACGCTTTGAGAAGGGCTCGAACGCGCGTCGGTGGCCTCTGCACCGGGAGCGCTCACCAACCGAGCTACGGCTCGGTCCCGTGTCCACTACTTACCTGTACAGGTATCTTCCTTTTTACATACTCTCTCTGTTCCAATTTATAGGCCGTTTTGGCTTTTTTTAGATACATAACTTTTATTATGTTTGGAGATATGTCGTATACCTAGGTGCATATAAAAAGCGATGTATCTAGAAAAGTCAAAATATGACCTATAATTTGGGACAGAGGATGGTATTGAATTATAGGTTCACTAAAGCAAGAGAGCTAATTGAAATCTTTGGCAAAGACCTTACTGTGTGTGTATTCATTTGCAGTCCTATGGATGATTGCAATAGAAATGGCTTAGGTTAATATTCATCTGTGCTTCTGTCCTTTGTAGATGAAAGTAGCTGAATGGCACATCTATGGAGTTCAATTAGTCATTGAAGCCCAAACAAAGAGTCCTCATTAGCGAAATTTGATTCTAGATTGCACTCCAGCATTTTGATGTGCTGCTATACGTGAAGTCCTTTAGAGGACAATTTTCCTTGCAGTGATTGCATGTATTCTCAACGTGATTCTCACAGTTGTTGCTTGTTAAAGTATTACTCTCTTTATTCCAAATTATAAGACGTTTTGACTTTTTTAGATACATTGGTTTTACTATGCATCTAGACATAGAGTATATCTAAATGCATAGCAAAAACTATGAATATAGAAAAGCTAAAACGTCTTATAATTTGGAAATGAGGGAGTACCATCTTTGTCGGCTTGTTGACAGTGGCTGACCGGTAATTTTGATTTATAACCAAGCCTCTGCTCATGGCTTCTAGTGACCTGCATATAGTCTCAATATGTTCTGTGTTAATTCTTGTATGTATATCTTGATGCTGTTCCCAGTAATAGTTTCTGAAATAATGGAAGCAGTCACTTCAGTTACAGCTGAAGGGAATTAACTCCTGAACTTTGGTAATCAGTAGTACACAAGAGAAGCCATTAACTTGTAAACTAAAAAGATAATCATTTGTCTAACCAAATTTCAGTAGAATGTTACAAAAAGAAATCGCTTAAATTGTGGTGATTGGGGGCTATGTACATTTGACACTTTTGTTTCAGTTTCATTGTTGGGTTTTAATTTCCTTATTCAAATTGGCATCACTGTGAGGACGGAATGAAGTGATGTTGTGGGACTAAAATTTTCTAGGATAGGTCATCGTTAAAACTAAAGTTGGTGCGTTGTTGCACCGGTTATCCTGACAAGCCGGAGCACTTGTGAATTTGTGCAAAATACCAGTGGTGGCAGCACGAGTGATACAAACAAGTTAATGATGTTGAACAAGTTCCTGCCACTACTGTACTTCGAATAGAACAATAACCCCTCCTTGAGGCTCACGGACGGGCTAGTGAGCTTCTCACTCCCAAGTCGCTAGAGTTGCTCATTTGCCTAGTCTGAGGGATTCCTTTTCCTCTATTTTTTTTTCTGAAGTATTCATTAGTTCAATTTTCCAATTCAAATTCGAAATTAGGGAAAACCCCGAATCGTACAACAATGGTTCACCAGTTACTTGTCGTGGCTGATAGATGTAGTCCAAGAGAGACTTAAGCTAATCTATGAGAGGACAAAGCTGGTAGAGGCTGGAACCTCGTCCCATTATCTTGAAAAAAAATGAGAGGACAAAGCTTAATTTGCAACTGCTTTGGCGCAAAGCACCATTGGAACAATGTTGGAATTACCTGAGCTGCTTGGTTGCCATAGGTAAGGAAGGCACGTTTCTCTGTTTTAGATTTCTCATGTTTGCTAGCAACCTGAAGGCAGCCATTGATTGACAGCGTTTGGTTGGCAGCTGACCATCCATTCTCAAAGGAGTTACTTTATTGCATCTTCATCTTGAATGCGGCAACATTATGAAGTATTTATACGACAAAAAAGATAGTCTAATATCCTACCAAACGAAGCTTTTTCAGTTCTGTGAAAATGATTGGAACTGGCGGATGAAACTTTGCACGGAAAATTAGGTTAAACTACAGTAATGATACTGTAAATAAGCCCTCTGTACAGCCGAGCAGATGCTAGAAAAGATAAAAAAGATTTCGGCGAGAGACACACACAGAGACAGTATCATCACCAAGACTTGAGTTTTGGTGCCCTGGACAAGCATGATAAATCCTGACCGCCACGAAGTCATTAATCA